AGAAGACGTTTCTCGATAGGCTGCAGTCGCTGTACTTCGTGGAGTCCGAGGAGCAGTTAAAGTTAGCCAGTTACGCTTCCCTGATCTCCACTGATGACGAGGAAGCCACAGGTGTAGAGTTTGTCGCTAATGCGAAGGAGGAGGAGAGCGACAAAGAGAGCATTGACCTGCAGTACGACCCACCTCCGGCAGACCACGACAGAGGGTCCTCGTCGGTCGGTCCGTCACCGAGCGCTGGAGCCCTCGTGTCACCGTCGGCCAAAACGCGGCCGGGCACCACGCCGATGAAGTTGCTGGAGAGACTCAGAGCTCTGGCCATCCCCCCGCCTGCTTTGCGTCCCGGGTCCGACATCCCGCCCGATCATCCATCTTGGCAGGATGACCACATCCACTTCCTGCTTGAGCCAGAACGTTATTTGCCTGAGGTGGAATGGGGCCATGACATAGTGTGGCATCCGGCAGTAATCCAGCCAGTGATACGAAAGGGCGAGTGGGTCATGGTCGTCGCAATCCCGGGCGCGGGATGGGTGTCATTCCCACGCGAGTCGAAGTCCAACTTCCTGCACCTCGCGAGGATTTCGGTCCTCCAGAAAGTGACTGCCGAGAATGACACCTTTGCACCCGGCGACTTGTCCCTCATTTCCACAGTCGGTCGACTGTTTGACGAGCTTCACGACAAGTGCTGGTTCGAATTGACGGAGGACTACTACGACCTCGACACGAGTCTGTCGAAGGGCGTGGTGGACTGGAAAGTGCCCCCTCCCAGTGGGCCGGACGGTAGTTCCGGGGGGGGGCACCTGGAAGTGGAGGGGATGGGGGTGGTGGCGCGGGGGGTGGCAAAGGAATCCCGCCTAGTGGGGAGAGGGGGTCTCACGGCCGCAACACGACACCGGGAGGCAGCGTCGGGATGGCGGGTTTCGCCGTCGACCGGCCTCCGTCGACCGGCCTCCGTCGACAGGCACCTGGCCGGAGCATACGACACAGTCCGCGGACCTCCCGACTTCGTCCGTGGGCTCAACGAGGAACACGTTGGCAGCTTTGCTAGCTCTTGGCAGTCGCTCCGACAGAAAGTTTAAGTCTGCCGGGATCTGAACTACGTCCGCTGAGGAGCCGCCAGAGAGGTCCGGAATGCAAAGCCGCTCGGGGTCGGGGGAGCCAAGCAAGGATCCCGAAATTGACATTATTGCAGCGCGGGACGGAAACGTAGGAAAGGTGTCGCCTGAGCAGGAGCCACGACCGCAACGATTGCAGCGAGAGGCTGCAGGTACAGGGTCCGGCGACACGGAGACGACGAAGTACGCCGAGATCCAAACTTCTTCGGGCGGGGGGTGTCGGCCAGGGATTGTCATGTCGTTGAGAGGGGCAGCGTGCATGGAGACGGAAGTGTGGTCCTCGGGATTCAACACGGGTACCGCGGAAGGGGATGAGTTTCGTGGAAGGGAAGTAGGGGAGAAAATGGGGGAACGGAGGGGAGCGCAAGAAGGGGAGGAAGAAGGGGAGGAAGAAGGGGAGGAAGAAGGGGAGGAAGAAGGGGAAGAAGAGGAGGAAGGGGAGGAAGCGGGAGAAACAGAGCTACTTGATTTGCTTGAAGGAAGGGAGGGTACCGGATCTGGAGACGACGAAGTGGAKCACAGTGAGGACGATGCCRGATATGGAGAGTCGTCTAACGAGTCCTGACAACTGTACGGAGAGCATCACCAAGATGATGTCGATGACGATGCCACGACAATAGAGATGGAGACACAGGTCGCTAGCAGCCTTTCCGCACAGCCTGAAGATTATGCGGTCCGACCACTGACGTCTGCTGTCGACTTGCAGCACCGCTTCCACGAGGCTTCCGTCGCTATCARCCCGTCTAAAACAAGTCGGCGTATAAGCATCGACGAAGTTATCGACGGTGTCCTCGGCGACCACAACGTGTCTGCCCGTACGTCCACATCGCCTGACGTCGACGAAACTGGCAACGTCACGTCTCCCGTTGCAGCTGCCCTCGCTTCGTCGCCGCCGAAGTCCCTGGTCCTGCCGGCCACCCTTGTCGCCGGAGAGGAAGGCGAGGTCGGGGAACGACAACATGTCACGTCCCCAAAAAAATCGAGGGTCGGCGGTCAAGCTCTCGACGTGCTCGCTTTGCCCGCGCCAAATTCCCCATCGAAGGAGCGGAGAGAGAAACAGACTGGTAAGCCGTGAAGAACGCTACACTGCCTGCGCGTCCGAATGTCGTCGGATTACAGTCCGCGCTATACACACGACGACTGTCCACACTATCTGTCGATACGGGAAGTTCCTAATGCCACCATACTACAGCCACCAGCCCTTCCTAATACATCTCGTCGGCTTATCTGTCACTCGACCGGGTTGCTGGTCGAGGGCGGCAAAAAGTTCGTCGACAAACTTACACTCCATCCAAGAAAGGATCTTCCCCAGCTGAGGATGTGGCCAAGTGGCTAAGAAAGTGGCCAAGTAGATGGACTGACGGTTTTCCCTTCTCGGGAATAGTGTTGGTTTTAGTCCGCTGGGATCCGAACTTCCTTTGTCGATGTGTGATGTGGTCAGTCTCAGTGGGGCTGGTGTATCGAAAAGTCCACCGCAGTTCGAACTTCGGGGATTGCTGCCCTTTGGCTTCTGTGAGTTGTGGTGGTTTTCCTTTGCAAAGTGTGGGGGTGTAAAGCTAAAATGTTGCAGTCGTTGTGTTTTCAAGTAGCACAACCGCACCTGGGTGCACATGACCATGCGAAATCAGGGTCCTATGGTCGGAGAGGTCCTGCTTGACTGTTGCGTCTGTGCGATTGTATGGTTCTCATTTTC